AACTCTCCGTGTAGTTTCGAACTCTCCGTGTAGTTTCGAACTCTCCGTGTAGTTTCGAACTCTCCGTGTAGTTTCGAACTCTCCGTGTAGTTTCGAACTCTCCGTTTGTCTCCATGATAAAACAAGGTTTAAATTATTAACGCGTGTCGATGGCTTTCGTTTTTGATTCTTTTAAGGCTTGTTGTGACCTTTGACCTTCCACAACCAGGACCAGTGTCAGTCGGCTCAGGTCCAAACTGGACTTTGAATAAAAACAGATTTCCGTTGGCCTCGTGTGGGGAGCAGGACCTTTTGGTTGAGGGCGTCCCAGGCCTCTCGGAGAGCTCGCTGCTCCTCGCTGAGCCCGGCAGCTCGTCTCATGGCCGTCAGGAAAGGCATGATGGGACGGCGCTGTTCATTGAAGGACACCAGAAATGTCTGGAACACCTGGAGACGATCCAAACACCAACAGGTAAAGACAAAACTATTTACCGTCAGGTCGGTTTTAGTGTGACAAAGAAGGAGGTCTGAACTTAAAGTTTAGTTTACATGAAGGGAACCGTTTATTCAGATAAGTGGGTCAGAACCCGTGACTGAGACTGAAGCTGTCAGAGCTGTAGAGTGAACCTACGTGATATCTCTCAGAGTAACTTTCTCCGTCTGTGGAGTCCCAGCCCTCCAGCAGCTCCTCGTAGGCCTGATGGAGCCAACAGGTGACCTCCTTCAACTTCCTGTCGCCGGTCGTCTGAACACACCCAGAAACACTCGACTTATTCCTCGAGACATGACACGGGTTCAAATGTTGCCAGGTTGAGTTCAGCTTCTGACCCAAACAAAGACAAAATAAAGCTCCACATTTTGAGAAGATATGAGCCGATTGTGGCAAAAAGTAAAAACAAACCTTCAGCGGATTGGGAGGATAAACTAATTATAGATCAGTAGCATCATCACAATTCTCAAAATTATTTTAAAATATATAAATATAAAGTGGACAACTTTATAGATCACAGCAAAATGATAGTCAATTGTGGTGTCCCTCAAGGGCCTGTTTTGGGGCAAAAGCTGTTTCTATTGTACATAAATGATATTTGTAGGGTGTCTAAATTACTCGAGTTTACTGTTTTTGCAGATGACAAATGTTTTGTGCACTGGGGACAACCTGCCGCAGCTTTTAGAAATGATTGAGAGGGAAATGAGTAAATTAAAATATTGATTCATTAAAAACCAGTTCTCTAAATTTAAATAAGACAAAACTGATGCTTTTTGTAAATTGGAAAGCTAATAACATTAAGATGGAAACTGATAATGTAAATATAGAATGGATATTTGAGTATCGCTTCTTGGGAATATTAATAGATCATAAGCTGGAAATCTCACATGAGGTACCTGCGTTCGAAAGTTGCAAAAGGAACAATGAATAAAAACCAGGTACATTTTAAATTTATACATTTTAATGATAAAATGGACTAATGGGAAGTGAGATTAATTATGTATTTATATCATGTATATGTATTTATAATCATGTATATGTATTTTTGTGTGCATATGTTACAAAATAAATAAATAAATAATTTTATCAGGAAGAAGTCTTCTGGTTTCAGGAACCAGAACCAAGAGTTTGAAATATTCTCACATTTCAGGATTCGGTGCAGAATTTCCTTCATTGTTCTGATCCAACAAATCTGGCTCTACCTGCAGAACCTGCAGTCCAACAAACACACCTGCTCTGGATGAACAAGAGGACTGGTTTGATCCGACCCAGTCTGCTGGTACCAACTGGACTTGTATGATGCTGGAGGTGAAGTTTTCTGTCAGGACCTGTATCTGGACCAGATTATGATTTGGTCCTGTTTATTCTGAGTGTTCTGTCTGCAGTGACACGTTTGTTGTGACATTGGGCTTTATGAGCAAACTGAAGTGCAAGCAGCAGCAGCAGCTAGCTGTAGCATGTCCGGTGCTGCACGGATCATGTACTGGAAGACAGACAAGCTGCAGGCAGCAAGTGATATGCATTCCTTCACACACGCCATCTTCACTCTGCAGCTGATCCTGTTACAGGATCGCCCTCCATCCTCACTGATAATCTGATGGAATGTTAATCTAAACTACCCCGTCACAGATTACTGATAAAAGATTCAACACGCCTCAAACACGCCTGAAGAAAAGAAACAAAGTTCTGTGCGTTGTCATATTTGTATGTCCCCATAGAATGATGACATTAGTTCTCTACATTTAACCATCACACCTGGATACACCAGGTGGAGCAGTGGACAGCTGTGTAAGCGTCCAGGGAGCAATTAGGGATTAGTTGTCTTGCTCAAGGACACTGTGACATGTGTGCATGGTGGGGAGTTGAATCTGCGACTCCCAAGTCGGTTGCCCAACTTCTACACCACAGCAGCCCATCTACACGTTCCCACGCACATGCTTCTTCACACGTTCTCACGCACATGCCTGTCCACACGTTCCCCCACAAACAAACATGCACACACATACACACACCCCTGTTCACATCTTTCCATGCACATGCTAATCCACATACCCACATACACACCTGTTCAAATGTTCTCATGCACACGCCTGTTCGCATTTTCTCACACACACACGCTTGTTCGCATGTTCCCACGCACACGCCTGTTCACGTGCCCACACACATGCCTGTTCAGACTGATAGAATTCAGCATGAACATTAGATGTTCATTAATGACAAACTGATGGCTTCAGTTTCTGACACCACCTGAAACCAGAACAGCTCAAAAAACTACAGAGGAAGGGAGTTAGTGGTACTTCTGAGCAGTGTGGTGTAGTTTGTTGTGGTCTGTGGTAGTTTGGTGTAGTTTGTTTGT